CCCTCTTATATTACTCTTGCTTTTCATTTGGAATTTTTATTCACAAAAAAAAAAAAAAAAAAAAAAAAATAGAAGATTTACTTTTATGCAGACTGCTGCAATTTCAAGGTACTTCTCGTCATGAAAGCAATCAAAATCATATCTATTTCTGTAATATATCTTTCATTCTATCAAATGAGACTGAAAAAATTAGAATATAACCAAAACAACCATACAAAAATATACCACTAAGCAGCCGCTAATGGCTGAGAAGTGAACTCCGCTATTTATGGTCTGATTTCTTTCATTTTTGGTGTACGTGAAGAAGTATCTTTCCATCATACATTGCCCAAGTTTGAATAAGATAACCCAACAAACAACTGAGAAAATAAAAATAATAATAATAATATCTTTATTTACTACACGTACATGTACAAGGTATACAGGCCTAGCTGACATCAGTGCCCATATACTGTTTAAAAACCCGCTTGTTATGCTGAGTATTTCAAGAAAATTAGGTCAGTGTCCCAGGATAACACCCACACTAGTCGGCTAACACCCAGGTACCCATTTACTGATGAGTAAACATAGACAACAGGTGTAAAGAAACACGTCTAATGTTTCTGCCCTGGCTGGGAATCGAATAGTATTTACCAAAAATCATACATGGCTAACCCAAGCCAGGTACTAAAAATAAGCTACGTTGACTTTTTTTTGGGTTATCCTAGGTTCTCTACACATTGCGCTTTTGTGATAATCTATAGAGAGAAAATAACTTTTTTTGTTTCAGTTTATGGTGCAGTACGAGTGTATATCACAGTTAGCCCTGTGCTACACTCCGTTTTCTCTAATATAAGCCCCCAAGACAGGGATAGGAGAATGGTGCTTGTATACCATATCCTCTTCATACCTCCGTTGAACTGCTCGGTGTTATGCCAAATTTTATTTATTCTGGAGTATCTAACATGTTTTATGTTATTTATATTGTTTATTATGTCATATTAGATCAATTGTGATAGGCAAATAAGCTGTAGTGTTGATATTAGCATAATAATAAAGCATATTCTGCTTCATGAGATTGAGTTCATGGCAACCAACAGTGGCATCAAAGCCACCTTAACTTTAATGGATAATGTACTGTGTAGGTGCTTTACATAATGAGAAGCATTTCTTTTGTTCATTGGAACCATGGCTAAGGCTAAAAGTAAGCAGGTTAAAACAATAAATGGAGAAAAAGAAATTGGAATGACTTATGCAGCAAGTAGCGCCACCAAACAGTACCAGCAGGTTGGTGTGGCGACCCTGGAAATTTGAAATTATGCTAGCCAAAATTAGTGCCGAATAACTGAAGGAACTGAATAACTGATTGCTAGATTTGTGATGGCGGACCTGTACCACATATTAATATACATACCTACCAAAACCAGTATTGCCCTTCACCACGTATGTAGAGATAAGTACGTAGTAAGCCTTAATTAAATTAAGTCAGCCCATAATGCCAAGACATAATAGAGGCTCTTTGTACTGCAACTCATCATTGTAAAAATCTATTAATGTACTACTTCCAAAGAAATAAATGAACTTGAACTTGAATTTGTAAATATGCCAATTTCCAGATAGGGTCCAGAATAAAGAACAGACATTCCTGGCACTAAAATAACATTTTCTCAGTTCTTTAATCATATCCCCAGGCCCCTCTTACATTTCTTTTGCTTTCCGCTTTGAACTTTTATTCTCAAAAAAAAAAAAAAAAAAAAAAAAAAAAAAAAAAAGAAGATTTACTGTTATGCAGACTACTGCATTAGTGTAGAAATGGTATAAATAATATCAGCGCACTTATGAAAGAATATTAGACTCACCAGTTGATGTGTATTGGACGCATGGCATGATCTGTTTACTTTTGAACTTTGGCAAAAATCGAACATTTCTGCTACTTTGAGTACAATATCAAGGTACTTTTCATTGTGAAACCAATCAAAATCATCTCATTTTCTGTAATATGTCTTCCATTCTATAAAATGAGACCAGGAAAACTAGAATACAACCATAAATACCAAATAAAAATACACAGCAAAGTTGTTGTTTTAAACCAAAAATACGGTATGAGTTTTTTTTTTCTCATTATGCACTGTGTGCTGCAGGATTTTTTAATACTGTGCACACTGACCACATAGCCCCATTCTTTCATACGTAGGCCTACCAGCTTTCTCTCGCTAGATTTGAAGGAGCTAGAATTTTTTTTTTTTTTTCCGACAAGTCGGCCGTCTCCCACCGAGGCAGGGTGACCCAAAAAGAAAGAAAATCCCCAAAAAGACAATACTTTCATCATCATTCAACACTTTCACCTCACTCACACAATCACTGATTTTGCAGAGGTGCTCAGAACACAACAGTTTAGAAGCATATACGTATAAAGATGGTATAAACCTTGGTAATAAATACCGACAAGTTGGTTTAGAAAGACACGTAAGCAAACACTAACATATTTATTAGAAAACGTTTCGGTCCTGGGACCTTGATCACTTCTAACATGTTAGAAGTGATCAAGGTCCCAGGACCGAAACGTTTTCTAATAAATATGTTATAGTGTTTGCTTACGTGTCTTTCTAAACCAACGTATACAGATACACAACATATCCCTCCAAACTGCTAATATCCCAAAACCCCTCCTTTAGAGTGCAGGCATTGCACTTCCCATTTCCAGGACTATCCACTCTATCATATGCCTTTTCTAAATCTATAAATGCAATAAAAACTTCCCTACCTTTATCTAAATACTGTTCATACATATGCTTCAATGCAAACACTTGGGGGTTATGGTGAGCAGCAACCTTAAACCAAGACAGCAATGCCTAAGCGTACGTAATAAGGCAAATAGATTACTGGGATTTATATCAAGAAGTGTAAGCAACAGAAGTCCAGAGGTCATACTGCAGCTTTATACATCATTAGTAAGGCCTCACCTAGATTATGCATCTCAGTTCTGGTCTCCATATTACAGAATGGACATAAATTCGTTAGAAAACATTCAGCGTAGGATGACTAAATTAATACATAGCATTAGAAATCTTCCTTATGAAGAAAGATTGAAGACTCTTAAGTTACATTCACTTGTTAGACGAAGAATGAGGGAGACCTGATCGAAGTGTATAAGTGGAAGATAGGTATTAATAAAGGGGATATTAATAAGGTCTTGAGGATGTCTCCCAAGAGAGAACCCGCAGTAATGGATTTAAATTAGATAAGTTTAGATTTAGAAAGGACATAGGAAAGTATTGGTTTGGAAATAGGGTAGTAGATGAGTGGAACAGTCTACCTAGTTGGGTTATTGAGGCTGGGACTTTGGGTAGTTTCAAATTTAGGTTGGATAAGTACATGAGTGGGAGGGGTTGGATTTGAGTGGGACTTTCACATCAGAGCTTATTTCTTGGGTGGCATTGAAAATTGGGTTGGGCAAATGTTTTGTTAGTGGGATGAATTGTAAAGGACCTGCCTAGTATGGGCCAACAGGCCTCCTGCAGTGTTCCTACTTTCTTATGTTCTTATGTAAAAGTACTAACCACTCCAACACCATATCCCCCCCTGCTTTTAACATTTGTGTCATGATCCCATCATTCCCAGCTGCTTTATCCCCTTTCATTCTACATAATGCCTCACATGCCTCCCCCACACTTACATTCTGCTCTTCTTCACTCCTAAAAGATGGTATACCTCCCTGGCCAGTGCATGAAATTACCGCCTCCCTTTCTTCTTCAACATTTAAAAGTTCCTCAAAATATTCTCGCCATTTACCTAATACCTCCTTCTCCCCATCTATTAACTCCCCTACTCTGTTTTTAACTGACAAATCCATACGTTCCCTAGGCTTTCTAAACTTGTTTAACTCACTCCAAAATTTTTTCTTGTTTTCATTAAAATTTCTTGACAGTGCCTCTCCCACTCTTTCATCTGCTCTCCTTTTGCACTCTCTCACCACTCTCTTCACCTTTCTTTTACTCTCCATATACTCTGCTCTTCTTATAACACTTCTGCTTTGTAAAAACCTCTCATAAGCTAACTTTTTCTCTTTTATCACACCCTTTACTTCATCATTCCACCAATCACTCCTCTTTCCTCCTGCCCCCACCCTCCTATAACCACAAACTTCTGCCCCACATTCTAATACTGCATTTTTAAAACTCGTCCAACCCTCTTGAGTACTAATACGGCACCAACCCTGGCGTGCAAGCCATACTAGTATGGCACCAACCCTGAAAGGGTTAATATGCATGAAATTGACTAAATTGCCAATTTCTGACCACTTTATTGGGTAGTTGGAATTGGTAAATGGGCAGTTTCTTGTACTCAAATCGATAGAACAAATGGAGTTCTAAAGAAATAACTAAGTTTTGTTGACTGGACCAATGGAATTGGCCAAAAATAAGGTTCAAAGTGGGCGAAATCGCCGATGCATATATATCGCCGAGATCACTAACTTTGTGAGAGCATAATTCCGTAATTTTTCCATCAAATTTCGTACTTTTGGTGTCATTACCATGGGGAAAAGATTCTCTATCATTTCATAAGCATTTTTTTTTTTTTCAAATATTTTGCGACACAGAGACGCTTCAGGATTTGGGGTGTCGACAGTCAAAGGGTAATTTTTTTTTATTAACACACTGGCCGATTCCCACCAAGGCAGGGTGGCCAGAAAAAGAAAAACTTTCACCATCATTCACTCCATCACTGTCTTGCCAAAAGGGTGCTTTACACTACAGTTTTTAAACTGCAACATTAACACCCCTCCTTCAGAGTGCAGGCACTGTACTTCCCATCTCTAGGACTCAAGTCCGGCCTGCCGGTTTCCCTGAATCCCTTCATAAATGTTACCTTGCTCACACTCCAAGAGTGAGTTAATAACAACATAAATTACAATTTTATTAAGAACAGTAATAAAACATATTTTAAGAGACAGAACTTTGAGAAACTCTGATGCATCAATGAATGCTCGTGATGTATCTGGACCACTTTCATTTACATACCATACAACTTAAAAGCTGAGTAAACTGTGATGCACCACTTCTCGTGTGAAGCATTCCAATGCGTGAACGTTCACGATAGGGGCTCTGTAATATATATAATGCACTGTATGGTATTTATATATACGTATATCAAACAACAAACTTTATTTCTTTATGCAGAATAAAAATATAGTTGTTGACATGCGATAAAATATTGTTAAGTACAAAAGAAAGCCACTAACATGCTGTGCATTTCAGGAAGACTAATACTAATGCTTACACACTACTTAAGACTAGACATATTTACGTAGTATTAATCCTTGCAGGGTTCTGACTCCCAATCTGAGACTTGTCCATAGGGTCCAAGAATTTGAATTTTTTTTTTTTATTTTTTTCCTTATGAAATGGTAGAGAATCTTTTTCTGAAGGTAATAAAAGAAAAATTTATGAAATTCGATGGAAAATTGACAAACTTATGCTATCATGAACTGTGGTGCATCAGCAATATTTATGCATCGGCGAGTCTGCCCACTTTGACTCCAATTTTAGGCAAATTACATTATTCAAATTGACAAAATTCTTAGCTATTTCGCTAGCATTACTTCTATTTTATCTACTGAACACAAGAAACTGCCCAATCAACTATTTCAACTACTCGATAAAGTAATCAGAAATTCGTAATTTGGCCAATTTCACACAAAGTTCAAAATATTGAAATTTAAAAATAGGGACCAGAATAAACAATGCAGACATTCCTGGCACTAAAATAACATATCCTTTATTTATTAGTTATGTTTCCAGGTTTTACAAATGAATTCCATTTTTATTTTTTATTCATATAATGAATTTTTATCCACACCAAAAAATAGATATACTCTTATGTAATATTGTAATAATTGTATAAATAATATCAGCGCACTCGGGAACATATGTTAGACCCACCAGTTGATATGTATTGGATGCCTGATATCATTTCCTTACTCTCAAACATCGGCAAAAAAATGAACATTTACGCTACTTTGAGCTCAATTTCAAGGCATTTTCGGTATTAAAACCAATCAAAATCATCTCTATTCTGTAATATATCTTCCATTCTATCAAGTGAGATCAAGGAACTGGGAATACAACCATAAAAACCACACAAAAATACACTGCAAAGTCGCTGTTTTAATAATAAAAAAGTCGGTTTTTATTTTCTAATTACGCACTGCGTGCTACAGGATATGTTTTATATGGTGCACACTTACCACATAGATCATTCTCTCATATCTAGGCCCATATTTACCACTCACAGCTTATCTGAGTGAGCTGAGCTCATGGCATAGAAACACAGCTTGGACCCAGGCTTCAAAGCCATAGAACTACAGGACGGACCCTCAAAAGGTTAAATGGTACAATTTTAACCCTTTGACTGTCGTGGCCGTATATATACATCTTACGAGGTACCGTATTTGACGTATATATACTCATAAATTCTAGCGGCTTCAAATCAAGAAGGAGAAAGCTGGTAGGCCCACATGTGAGAGAATGGGTCTGTGTGGTCAGTGTGCACCACATAAAAAAAATCCTGGAGCACGCAGTGCATAGTGAGAAAAAAAAAACTCAACCGTTTTTTTTAATTAAAATGCCGGCTTTGTGGTCTATTTTCGTAGAGTATTTATGGTTGTATTCTCGTTTTCTTGGTTTCATTTGATAGAATGGAAAACATATTATAGAAAAAGAGATGATTTTGATTGATTTTACTATAAAAAGAACCTGGAAATGGAGCTCAAAGTAGGGGAAATGTTTGATTTTTGCCGACGTTCAAAAGTAAACAAATGATGTCATTGTCCAATAAATGTCCAAAAAGCCATTCTAATATGCAGTCATGAATGGGTTGATGTTATTTATACAATTATTACAGTATTGCAGTAGTCTGCATAATAGTAAGTCTTCCATTTTTTGTTTGAATAAAAATTCAAAATAGAAAGCAAGAGTAATATCAGAGGGGCCTGGAGACATGACTGATGAACAAAGAAAATGTTATTTTAGAGCCAGGAATGTCTGCATTGTTCATTCTGGACCTTATTTTGAAATTGTCATATTTTTAATTTTCGTGAAATTGGCCAAATTGCAAATTTCTGACCATGTTATTGGGTAGTTGAAATTGGTAAATGGGCAGTTTCTTGTACTCAATTGATAGAAAAACCGGAGTTCTAAAGAAATAGCTAAGAGTTTGGTCGACTGGAACAACGCAATTAGCCGAAAATAGGGCTCAAAGTGGGCGAAATCGCCGATTTGTAAATATTGCCAAGATCGCTAACTTTGCGAGAGCGTAATTCCGTCAGTTTTCCATCAAATTTCGTTTTTTTTTGGTGTCAATACAATCGGGAAAAGATTCTCTATCATTTCATAAGAAAAAATAATTTTTTTTTTTTTGAAATTTTGCGACACCAGGAGACACCTCAGGATTGGGGGTTGCAACAGTCAAGGGGTTAAGTATAAGCTACATACAGTAGGGCTCCACTTACATGGCAGGTTAGGTTCCAGGCTACTGCCATAAAGCAGAAATCGATGTGAAGTGGAATGCCCTTTTTTTCCCCACTTATAAATGCATGTAAATGCTAGATAACAAGTTTACACTAACATATATTAAGCCTTTGACTGTCACGGTCGTATATATACGTCTTACGAGGTACAGTGTTTGATGTATATATACTCATAAATTCTAGCAGCTTCAAATCAAGGAGAAAGCTGGTAGACCCACATGTGAGAGAATGGGTCTGTGTGGTCAGTGTGCACCATATAAAAAAATCCTGGATGAGATGAAAGGAAGGAAAAAAGTAAGGAAAGATGAAAGAATGTAGGAAGGAAGGTAGGAAAGGAATGCAGGAAGGTAGGTAGGAAAGGATTGCAAGAAGGTAGGAAAGGAATGCAGGAAGGTAGGAAAGGAATGCAGGAAGGTAGGAAAGGAATGCCGGAAGGTAGGAAAGGAATGCAGGAAGGTAGGAAAGAAGGCAGGAAGGTAGGAAAGGAAGGTAGGAAGGAAGGTAGGAAACGAATACAGGAAGGAAGGAATGATGACACACGACCATTTACCTAGGATAACTACATAACACAACTGCCTGCTAATACTTTGAAGAAAACTGCTCAGACAAGGTGTTTTGTTTTTGTACATAAAAAAAATGTCCACAAAAATGCACACACACTGGTTTTATGTGTGAGAGTGTAAAACACCATTGTGTATGACACCATGTTTCAAAGAGTTCCACAAGCTGCAGAACTTCTAGGAATATGTCCAGTACTGTACATGGTAAAATATTTATAGAACAATAGTAATAAACAA